ATTTAATAGTCCCATTCATCCCACTATATAAAGTATCGTGTACGATCCACTTTCATTTTTTACTAGCAAGGATGTTAGGTGTAGAAATTTGTTTTAACTCCAATTGTACCGTTACCGTTGGAAGTTGAAGTATATATTTTTGTGTGGAACTAAGTTCACAGGCCTATCATAGACGATAGTTTATATTATTCTAAAACATTCCCTTTGCTGTGATTCTAAATCAGACATTACATATTTAAACTGTGTTGTACATAATGCTAAGGACTTTGATCTGGACATTCCAATAGGTTTATGTTGGCTTTCGGACAGTGTTAATTGCAAATACATTTGATGAGTTATCGTACTCTGGACTGATGGTTTTGATAGTAGTAGATCGATAATATGAAAGCTAAACACAAATAAGTTGTTGAAATGAAACATCTTTTTTCATTCATCTGAGGCATATTCTCCTCTAATACATTGGTATGTTGAGCCTGTTGCCATGGTAATATCAGTAATAACAATCGTTTAAACATAAACATTACTCTGTAGGCAGCTGTATTGGTAGGCCCGTACTTAGACGTGCCACTTTTGTCCCCCCACGTCCTTGTATTAGAGGAGGTCATGGCTAAGGTTTACTCAATTTTTACCACTGACATCACATAGCTCGTATAAGTTATACTTCCTCCAAAATGAATGTTTAGGTTTCAATGAGGTTTTGGAGCATTTTTAAGTGTTCTACTGTTTTACTTGTCTTAAATTTCTCATTCAAGTTATTGTTATATTGAATACTTAATGTTAATATTATATTTGTATTGTATTTAGCTTGTTAATATCTTAATGTAGTACCAAAAATATGGTTTCTTACAATTAATTGAGAATAAATTTAAATGGTTAAAAATTAAACCTACGATTTAAATCTATTCATAAAAATGTGTTAAGAATCTCACCGTGCTAATATACTATATTTATTCAAGTGTGTAACAGTATGTTATATGTCTCAGTTTTGTTATTAAGTTATGTTGTTGAACGCTGCAAATTGAACAAATACATTGTTGCAGTTTAATCGGAACAACTTTTTGAGGTCCCAAGAAAAAATAGAAAACTACTCAGTAATTAATTAAAGAGAAATAATTAAAGTAACCTTACACACAAATTCAACTGTGATAAACCGATAAATTAAATCTATCTAGTTCTTGCACTATGAGATTAGAAAATAGTTGCCAGATTATTTCTTGCCATTCATGTACTTAAGTAGTTAGTACTACTAGTTTGTTGTACTGTTAATTGTAACAGATTAAGGATGTTACCATAAAATGGTCCGTTAATAGATTAATGTTCGTTGATTGATTAATGGATTCAAATTATTTGAAAATGTATAAAAAATAGTTATTTAATTAATTTTTTTTGTTAATACTTGTGTCGTTAACACTAATTTTACGCGATAGTTGCGTTAACTACTATTTTAAACTGTACAACTAAACTCCATCAGCATAAGTTGGGTTTTCATGTCATCTTTCTTACCTATCTTTATAACAGTTGTGAATGGGACCACGTGTGTTCAAAAAAAGATATGCAGGGGTCGGATTAAAAAAACAGAGTTTGTAATATTGCTAAAGGCGGGGATACACTTGTCATACACCCTTCCGATCCGACTCCGATCATACTGCGGTACGACTGTCGGAGAGGGGAATGGTACATAACTTTAAACGTGGTTGTTTACACCTCTCCGACACGCGTCACGTCATACTCCGATCCTACTCCGATTTTGGCTCCGATCACGCACCGACACTGCAGTGTATTCGTTTGTCGGATGCAGAATGGGTTGTTTTTTTTTAAATCACCTTTATTCTTAAAATTTAAGAATAATGGTTTAAGATAAATATAAACCGATGCTTTATGTAAAATCTGTGCGTGCATACCTTCAATTAGAGACCTCGATCATGAAAATCGGACGGGTAGAAGAGCCAATCGAACTCGAGAGAGAAAACCCAATGTGCTTAATATAAGACGGGCACCACCTAACTTTCTTTCCATACAGAATGAACCCAAATTCTTAGTTTTCCACTTCCCTTCAGAGATGTCTGACTTTCTTCCTCTTCATCTAGACAAACCGCCATCATGGGTGAATCCCGAAGTCCAAAGTTTTTGAAAATTTTTACCACCTTCTGCACGTAGTTTACAAATCAGACTGGCAAGTGTTGATCGACCGGTGGAGGAAATCTGAGATGGGTCGGAATCGTGTATGACATGTGTGCTCACCCCCTCCGATCCTGCACCGATCCTTTTGGAATCCCGCAAATCGGATCGGAAGAGTGTATGACAAGTGTGTCCCCGCCTATTCCAAGTGTTCATAGGGAATATTATATTTCACCACTAGTCATGAAAGTGACCCATTTTGGGACGAGATAGTATTTTACATGCGAATGATATTTTACATGGGAAACACTATTGAGCCCCGAAATGGGACTTTCTTGACAAGTACTGAACGATACTTTTTATCACGATGAAAAAAACTACTTCATCAAATAAAAAAAAATTATCTGATATTTCGTAATGTATTCATTTTTCTTTGTTGATGTCAGGCAAAGTATTGTTTGTGTAGCGAAAGTAATGTTTATTGTCAGGAAAAGTCAGCTGATCACTATTTGTTTTTGGTGTATAGAAATTGACGATTTTCAAAGATCTCAGCTGCATGGAAATGGGCTATTTTCGAATAAAGAGTGATGAAAAATATTGTACTGTTTGCAGTACAAACGCATACGTTATTGTAATGACAATGGCTTACTATCTGGCATTGTGCTTAGGTTGTGTTCAAACTTAAATTGTTTGGTTTTAACATATCATGATTCCTATATTTATATACACATTTTGCGATACCACTTATTTATTTAATCTCAGTTTTTATACAATTTTGTTGTTTGTAGATATTTTACATTTAAAATTTTTTTATTTATATTTACCTACTGTTTGGATGTTACGTTATTGATTTTTATGAATATTTTAACCATTTTTAATGGATAAGTTTCAGTTCATGTTTTCTTACAACATATTATGTTTATTCTCCAGTTTTCCCTGAATGCTGATTCACGTATAGAAACATTTCCTATCCTCTTACCAGGTTTAGTTGTTGGTTTGTTGGGGAATCAGGTGTTGTTTATTTTTACAACTTTTAGTTTTCAGTACTGTTTTTTGTTGTAACTGTGTTGCTTTTAAAGCAAAGATTGTGATCTGAATGAATATTTATTTATTAAAAAATAATGCGAGTTGGGTAGAGGATAAGTGTTTAATATTGACAAAATCAAATAATTATAAATTTAGTTAGGTGCTACGTAGCGTTAGGTGTGCCCGTCCCAAATGTCCTAGTATGTTTTATGAATATTTTATAACTAATATTGATTTAAAAAATATTACCTACCACACTACTAGTTTCACAGTGATAGTGCCTTTATTGATGGATCCATTGTTAATTGATTTTTGTCTTTACTTTCAAGTTAAATTAATATGAACCCAAGTTCTTGCCAGTTTCATTGCTACTGGTAAAATATGTATGAACTACAATTTGGCCAACTATGGTCTACAAGTGAAGATTGAGAATAATAAGGGATTCTTTTCGACTTTTATCCGTAACTTACAGATTTTCAAATCAAACCAATTAAACATATTTACATGTACTTAAATGATAGTAAATGTTTTACAAAGCTCATGTTACATATCTGTTTGTATTTTGATGTGCTTCCTACAAAAAATTTAATCCTAGAACATAAATCATTATGATTTTCAACTATAAGATGGAGATATATCTAAACTTCTAAATTTTAAATCTGTTAAGAATACTATTTTACACAGCCCCAATTCAACTTTCAACCACCGTGACAGTGGGAATTCTTCTTTTAAACTCATCGTAATGTTTCAATAAATGCACTTCTTCTAATCGAAAGGAAAGAATTAGTGATATCGGATGGTTCTAGGATTAAAGCGCACAGCTTTGAATACATGGAAGATTGACGTAGCTCATAGTCACTAGTTAAGCCTCTCGTCGTCTGCTAGTCTGTGCCAGTTAGAAGTGTTGTCTGTGTCATGGAGTTATTTGGTAATTCATTCCAGATTTGCATTTCTAAAATACTGTCAAACATTTTGCTGTAATTTTTTGTTCATCAATGTCGAATGTTTATACATTTTATCGTTCCTTAGATTTTATCGTTAGGTTTAATTTGAGTGAGATTTTTAAAAGAGTTGTTTCAAAAACAAGATCACTCTATTTGTGAAAATCCATTTGCAATAAGTATATTTTAAGTAGTAATATATTGTCTAATATTCAAAAGACCTCTGTTGATGTTTTGTTTTTTATTGTTTATAATTAGTTGTTTGTGAAATAATGTAGTCAGACTACACTCATTTATTTATTTTTGTTTGAATAAGATGTTGTTGTTTATCGATGTTTTTTGCGTTATTTGTGTCACCCGTTTAGTAACCGTTAAGCTGGTTAGTTCATTTACAATGAGAAAGTAGTGTGGGACAGACTACAATGTCATGGGTTGTGTCCTGCTGTCTCCCACTAAATGTCATCAGTTCAGCTCACTCTTGTGCTGTACCTGTGTACCTCTTGCTTTACTGGATAAGGTCCACGCACAAATCTGTGGCATATATGGAATGTGGATGGACAAATGCTAGGTTAAAGAGGCAGTGGGCCTCTTTTTTAATACTAAACTAACTTCTTTGGATCATTGTCAAATTATTTGAAATGTAATTTTTTTGTTAACCCGTTATATCATTGACTATATATATAGTCAATGGTTATATTCTTGTTTGTCTAATAGACATTTCATCCTTGATCAACAAAAAACAGTTAGACTTTTGTGATTTTCAACAATTTAATGTCCTCAGATCATAAGAAGTTAAATACCTGTTTACTGTTTTTCATAATTTCTAATGACCTTCTTTTTCTTTCATGGGTAGTAGTATTATATTCCTAACATCACTACAGTAGATAAAATTGAATGGTAATAGGGGACAAGATATTTGCTAAACATTAAAGTTTTATTAATTAATTGACAACTATAAATAAAATAAATATAAGTTCACATATGGATTTACGGAGCCAAATAATCTTCAGTCTCAAACCTTGGGTCCAGGACTTTTCCTGCTGCCACGATTACGTTCTTGGTGTAATCTCTGATGAAAAACAAGAACGGATGATCTGCCACAAACTTCTCAATGTTGTTCCTCTTAGTCGCACCACCGGTCAGGGACGCTGAAATAAAAATAAAATTGTTTCTGATATGAGCACAAGTGGCACTATTAATCATAAGTCAAACTGTATGATATCTTTCAAAAGATTATAAATTGGAAAGACTTTCTGCTGACGAATCCGAAGTAATGAAGACTGTCATTCTTGGTAAATAATGTCCCAAGTTGAGGACATTGAACGTCAATGGAACTACCAAACTGTTCAACTTCAGCTTAGTGTTGCCAAATAGGACGGTAACCGTTGCCAAAAACTCAATCTTTAAACGCTGAAACTTTTTGAAGAACAATATTGTAATTTAATGTGTATTTAGCAAGATTAACTGTTACAGATAAACTAATTGTGTGTGGTTTTTTTTAATAACACAGAACAAATTATTTAAAGTTCATCCACTGATATTTTTATAATGTATGTTATTAAAAAATGAATACTGTATATTATATTATTTCCGTTAGATGAAAGGTTTGTTTCAACAATTACAAGGTAGTGATTTGTAACATAAAATGTGCTTCAATTGATTGTTTCAGTCGAACCTCAAATAGATAAGGTAAATATCTAAGGGGTTGGTATTGGAATTGCTGAATTTTCTTTGCAGAACAATGACATAATTGAGGAAATGAAACTTACAAGTGAGGAAGTTGGTGTCTGCTGATCCTTCGTCAACTTGAATGTTCACCAATTGTACGAGAGCTCCCATCTTGAGCTTGTCAGAACTCATACCTGAGAGATCTGCTTCGTTGGTGAACAGATCATTGACACCATACTGCAAGAAGAAAACAAGAAAACTGTTAACTAGTGATTGTCAATGGCCAGGAGTTAGTTGAGAAAACCATTTAAAATAAGATTGAATTACAATGTTGTTAGGATAACAAACTATATGTTTTTGAAATAATTCAATCACTGATTTAAAATACAATTGAATATAAAGTGTGACATGTACTGTAAATCAGAAAAGAATTCCGTGGCCAGGAGTACACAGTTCAGTTGATAACGCTGCCACTCGACAACTACGCAGGAATTTCTCCGGTCTGCTTCATGCTGGGCTCGTGACAAAGTCAACTGGTATCGTGTGTATGACAGGTCTGTTCGTTACTGTAATGCTTAATCGTTGTGTAAAAATTTGTGTATATTATGTGTTTTGACTTAGACGCTGCTTCAGCCGAGATCTACATGTCTGATCTGATTGTATTGTGATGCCAAAACTACCTGTATCAACCGTTATAACTTTTGAGCGGATTGATGAAGGTAAAACCCATTGTTTACTTACTTTACAGCTCAGGGGTTAAAACATGGAGTTTAATTCTGAAGAAATTTGACTAATCCATAATCGTTTGAGTACCTATGACTTATGGTTTTTGACATTTTACCGCTTGGTGTCAACAAACAGTACACAATAGATATTTCTGTAACCAGTGGTGTAGTGGAGCATGAACGTGTTGTATGGCGTTCTCACTGTTATTTCCAAAATACTCTATTTTTATTGATCTGTGTTTATCCTGATGTTTTGGTGAGCATTTCTGCACTGGGAAATTTATGACCACACCACTGAAAAACCTTCGGAACTGACTTCCTTTTCACGTTACAGCTAACCAAGGTTTTGTCTCTAATCTCACCTTCTGTAGAATCATCTCTGGATGGCTGATGGTCTGTATTTGATACTTGGGCAGCATGATTTCCACAGGTCTCTCCACTAGGTACTTGTACACTTTGTCTAGGGAGAAGCCAGTGATGTCGGAAGTCAGCTTGGTCAACCCGTCTCTCTGGTTCGGTAACAGCACCAGCATGGAGTATCTGCCTCCCTGTCAACGAGAATGTCAAGTTGGCTTAGACGAAAAGAATATATAGATGAGATTAGAGTTATGCTACTCCAACACATCAGAATGTATATTTCACAGTGAGGATGAGTGTAAAATAAATTAAAAAGATTGTCCAGCATTCGAGCACAGCTCGGTCTAGTTTTGAACCACCAAAAAAAGCTTAAGGTATTCTAAGGATTGAACTTGAATTCTCTGACTGCTAGACAAGTGGTATAATCAATCATCTTCCCAGCTATAAGTTAGCGTTAAAAAAGGATTAGGTTTGTCAATATGATTTGGATTTTCTAAAAGTTCAGAAGAAAGAATTAATTTTTACTTAGATTAATTCTGGATCAATGCTTATTAGCAATTGCAGTAATGATATTGCTTATCAAACCCATTAACCTCATGTATTAAACATGTATTTTCTCATTTTGTTGTTCACCTAAACCCTTTGTTATACAATTTCCACCCGAATGTACAGAGTTATTATAATCGATTGGTTGTGATACAACTGAGGATTGGAAATTAGTACTGTAGTTAAGAGTCTTTGGAGCATAGACGCTCTAACTCGTAAAACAGTTAAAGAACTACAAAGACAATTTCTAATCTCACAGTTTCCTAGATATTCAAATTATAATCACTTAAGTGTAAAAAAAATATTTTTGGACGATAAATAACTCAGCAGCTGTTTGAAATTACCCAAGATGGCCGATAGCTTCATAGGACTCTTAATCACTGCTTGTATAAAAGGAAGGTATTAATATTGTTACAGATTATATTTATTTTATCTTTTGGTTGTCTTCCAATTGAATACATTTCAATCGATAAAGATTTTACAAATTTAGAAGAATATAAAACAACACGGATTGAATTGCGTATTAGATTTAATTATTACCTCATACGGCAACTCCAAAGCAGTTGCATCCAGCTCAGGAACATTTCCTATGTCGAAGCTTCCCTTGCTCTGCATCATCTTTACTTGCTTCTTCTCAGTCAAAGATTTATAGAAGATTCGTTTATCTTCCTCCTTTACGAGTTTGAATGGTGTCTTCCAGTTGGCTCGGAAGTAAAATCCATTGAAGATGATCATCTTAGTCTGCGGGTCGAGATCTAAGAACACACACAGTTAAAATTAGTCAACTAGTCAAAATAGTTAACTTTATTGCATAAGTAAAAGAGAAATCATTAGCTACCTATACAATTTCCCCTCAAACCCTTTAAAGAAAATATATTTTTACTAGCGTTTTTCATCTTGATAGTTTATTTTTTTTACGGATTGTATTTTATGCTGTATATTTAGCAGGAATATTATTTTACTAGATATAATATACTCCCACTAGAAAATACAATTACCTGGTCTGTTTTTGTCTACGATCTTGTTAGCTGACAGTGCTGTGGCGACATCTTTGCTTCCATCGTACGAGCTTGGTGCTGCTTTTTCTTTTTTTTGTTCACTAGCTGTTTGACTCTTTGCCTTATCTTCCGTTTCCTCTTCCTTTTCTTCCTTTTCTTCTTCCTTTTCTTCCTTGTCTTCTTCTTTTTCCTCTTCTTTATCTTCCTCTTCCTCAATCTTATCTTTTTCATTCTCAAAAGATAATTCATAATGAACTCTATCAACGTTTTTCACTATTGTGAAGTAGTTTTCCTCAAGGATTTTCTTGTAGTTTTCATTCACGGTGTAGTTTTTGTAGACGTAGAACCAATTTTTGAACTGAGGCTTGTTCATTGTCCATTTATCCTGAAATAATATTTTTGCTCATGAAACCATACCAGTTGAGGTTTATTTTGTATTTATTTATACAAAGATTTAATGAAAATTGTATCCTACAACCTAGAGTTTGCATGTCTAATGGACCTCTGGCCTGTGCAAAGAAGTAAAGCAAGGGGTGAGCCAGTACTTTGACAATAACTGTCTTTGACAATACTCCAAAAATGTCTGGTATATTTACACTTACAATGTAATTATTATTTTTACCAGACAGTAAACATATAGAAATCATCAAACCTAATCCAAGACCTCCATACACCATCATTGTCAGTGGCTTTGTAGGTACTGGGTAGCCCAACTTTATTAGAACAGTTCAAGTACTGCTTCAGCTCACCTCTAGACTTGCTTGTTACTTTCCAAGCACACACCTGAGATGCATGTAAATGAATTGTGCATGATTTAAAATATGCTGCCGACCTATCTTTTAATTTAAGAGAAGGAAGAAGTATTTTCTTTTGTCCATACAGTGTTGCCATCATATAAAATGCAAATCAAAAGTGTATTTTAATTTTAAAATATGATTGTTGCGTGGAGGAATATTAACTATGACAGTGAATTACCCTGGTCTACTCACAGTCATGTCCTGTAGGATGGACTTGTAGCTGTCCCTGACTGCTATCAGATCCTCTGGTAGTCGCAGGGCTGCTGACAGCTGATTGCGAGTCTGTCCCCCGGCACCCTCCGCCATGATGGCCAGCACCACGGAGTAGCCCAGCGGGGAGAAGGCAAAGTCTCGCTCCTCCTCCACAAAACCCTAACAGAACAACGGTTTAGAGGATTAGGCATTGAGGAGACAATATTTCGTTTTGTTGTGTTTGACTTTTACTATTGATAGTAGACGTCACTTTCAATGTAAAAGCTGTGTCCAGGTTTAGAAAAAAATGAATATCGTTGAATGTTGAACTGAGCCAGATACAGAGTGCCAATGTACTGATTTCTGTCAAATACGCCAAATTTAATCAAGCCAAACTGAGGAGACTTCTTTCTAAGAAAAATTATAGGATATTACATAAAAATATAGGATGTAACATAAACAAAATATAATATCGTCAATATTGTCATTAGTAAACTCTGTGAGAGGCTTATGCAACTATTTTCTATTTGGTTATCAATTTGATTTACATAGATAGGTCTATTTCAATGAATACAAGTATTCAAAGGTCTACGGTTTCGTTTATTCAACTGTGATCTCATTGAGTGTAAAACACTGACTAGACTACACAGCTCATCCATGTAGTCGTTGTCCACGGTGTCCAAAACTAGCATTAGCTAATCATGATCAATTGATCCATTAACTTGCAACTAAATGATATCTATTTCAATGCGTACTTAAAAAAGAGAGTCCAAATTAGCCTACATAGCAGTTTTACCTATAGATTTAATTAATCAAGGACATATCACAGCAAAGTTCCATCGCGAGAGTGACAAAGACACAAATCAGGCCAATGCCTTCTGGATATCTGTCGCGTATCTCGGTTTATTAGCCTGGAGCAGGTTAGGTTAATCACCTCGACCGCTACAACCAGATCTCTTCCTCTCTCCACCTTTCTCCCACACCTCGTGATCTCGTTCCGTTACCCGATTAGCATTCGATAATCCGAACATGTAAAATATGATGCTCTGAAACTCTAAAGATGAAATCTCCCGACCATGTTTCAGCAGCGGTACAGTTTCAGTTTTTGACTTAATGTATTCACAAACCTAAAATTGAATTTAGTTGCATTTGGGTCCACAATTAGCTTTAACTGGTTGCCAAAGATTCCGGAAACCTCTTTGAAAATATTACACGCTTAGATATTATTCGTTTCCAGAACCTTATTTTTTACTTTACATCATCCTCCCAATTACCAAATGCTTGGGCCAGATTCACAGTAGCATCGTGCCCTTCCAAAGTACAGCGCGGATCAAAAATACGTTAATAAATATACTCGTAAGTCCAGTACGACTGAATATTTTTATAATCATTACTGTTGCAAAGTAAAGCAAATCTTTAGGGTAGGGATTAACTCATCACAACGCCATTTAGTATTGCACTATAAGTTTACCAGCTCAGCTAAATAAACAACGTGACGTAAAGATATGTTGATAGTTAAAGCAATATTGATGATCAAAATGTGGTTAATTCAATTGATATGAAATATCTAAAATTACTAATTGATTAACCGAAGCACAGAAAGATGGACATTGAATAGCTGTCCCATTATGACAAGAATAATTATGTAGTATCCTTATTGGACCATTCACTGATTCACATACACCTACTGTACTTCCATCTAGAATTTATTATTTTTCGTCATACTGCAGCAAAATCAACTGTTTCTAATGATGCATACGTTGAGTGTCTAAAGTACCGCAGCATCTTTACTCTCTAGGGGGTAAATATCAGCTGTTGTAAACAGTTGTAAATTTCAATTGTGGCAATCGTATAGATCGAAATTATTTATCGATTGATTTATAAGTAAGGTTTTAGCATATTGTTGCCGAATGCTCGACATTTCAATGGTAAAATGTACTGTAACACAATAGTAAAAGACGAAATGATTGAATTATTACGGTACTAAACAGTTGCTTATTTGCATTAGTAGAATATTGAAAACAAGCTGGAAGTGGTTTTGAGAGTTTATCATTCCATACAAATTCTTTCGTTTTCTAGCTTTGTTTGTTAATTAATGATGCAATGTGACGAAAATATAGTACACCACACGGGCAAAAAGTTTCGTTTTAACCCTCGCTCATTTTCCGACCCCGGCTTCGCCTCGATTGTAAAACTTTACCTATGGCCAAAAAGAGTCACTTTAGGCCCTAGTTATGAAATATATGCATGAAATATAACACTACGACGTTCTACAAACGTTAATAAATAATTGAAGGACGAAAGCTACGTATTGCCGGTATTGCTGTCCAGTACCGACATGTCAGCTGTAGGCCTAATTATTCATTTGGGAACCGAGCAGCTGGTTTTACGGTCCTAAAAAAGTATTCATATCACGATTACTAGAAATGACGTTGTTGGCCCGAATCCTATACTAATAGCATTGAACATATGTTTTAGCAGTTCCATTTAACCAATGTTAAATAATGTTTATTTTCGGGCCAAAAACGTCATTTGTTGATGTTTATGATCCATACCGGTATTTTTCTAGGAATCGTGATTCATATGTATTGCAATAGACTTGTTTTAAAGTCACCGTTGCCTAGCAACTATTTATTATTACGAGAGCACGCCCCGTGGTCGAAAAATCGACCAAAAGTATGTTTTGTGCAAAATTCTCTATTTTCACCCCACACTGTAAATAAAACATGTGATTGGAATGTCTTCCATTTGTTTTGATTTTCTATTTATATTTTGTTGTTATTTCTTCATCACCATAGCAACCCATAAGACCCATGTTAATTTTTTTAATTTCAAATTCATTTTTTGTGCTTATTTTTGAGCCTATTTTAATTTATAAAGGGATTCTGCACACCTACAGGAAAATAGCTTTCTAACGGTATGCGTAGATTTTCCCTACGATACACACGAGCTGAGAAAAAAGGTTTTAATGAAACATGCTTGCCTATTAATATATTTACGAGAGGTCATCCAGTGGTCGAAACTCGACCAAAAATATGTAATGTAAACTTACTCACTTCTCTATTTTCACCCCACACTGTAAATAAAACATGTGATTGGAGTTTCTTCCATTTGTTTTGATTTTCTGTTTATATTTCGTTGTTATTTCGTCACCAGCATGGCAACGCATAAGATCCATGTTAATTTTTTCAAATTTTTAAACTCATTTTTTGTGCTTATCTTTGAGCCTATTTAAATTTATAAAGGGATTCTGCACACCTACAGGAAAATAGCTTTCTAACGGTATGCGTAGATTTACCCCACGATGCACACGAGCTGAGAAAAAAGGTTTTAAAGAAACATGCTTGCCTATTAATATATAGATTATTATTGATTCCTCTAATTTTTTTCTTCTCATAACCTAAAGTTATGTTGACTGTAAATGTGTATTTATTGTGGTGAATCTGTTTTAGTGGTCGTAGGGTATAGTGTGGTGAAAAACAGTGTAGTTACGAAATATACTATTCCAGTTCCCAATTTAGAAATATCGGAAGTATTGCAACTCGAGTTTACCAGTATTTACAGTGAGTAAAAATGATAGTTATTTTGAGATTTTACAGACACTAAAACTCAAATAATTGGCGAGACTTACATCCCTAGGCTATTGATGTTTAATATATATTATTTATTTGTTTTGTAGCCTAATTGATTAATTCCATTTTAATGGAATTTGTGTACAGCTGTCTTACAATTTTTTGACGTGAAATCCAGTAGACTAGTAAAATCTACTTTAGGGGTACCGGTAGGTAGATTTTATACTCGAATATTATATTTCTAGACAAGAATAAGTTATATCATAGACTAACCAACACAAGTAGACTTCTCATCCCATTGTAAATTTTGAAGCACGTTTTTCGTGTCTAGTTCATGTACGTGACACAAAGGCGCTAGTGTCGATGAAACTTTGTTTCCATTATTTTAGGGTTAATTTCTTGATTTATGCTTTACTGTTTGGTTATATAACTAGGGGACAAGTTATTGTTTATGATTAGATCGTATTATTTGGTTAAACGAGGTTTTAAATGGCTGTAATAACGGGAAACAAATTGTAAACAAAACACGACCTCTACATAAACCGTACATGAACTAACAATAAAATTGTCTTCAGCTGTTCCATAAGGATGAGGAATCTAATATTTAGACTAGTGTTACCTGCAGCAGTGCTGTAGCCAGTTCGTTGGTGCTGCCTCCTACCACGTTGCTGGGGGGTGTCTCTAGACGAATATCCCCTAGTGGGGCGGAGCCCTGAGGAGCGGCGGCGGCGAGGGCGAGCACCCCCATCAGTAGTAACGGTCCTAGGGACAAGGAGGAGGTTGAAATTAGGCCATCAATACGACGGAAATAATCTATTTGGGTAAACCTAAAATCTCGTTGACTTTGCTTAACAGCAGTCAAGTTGTCACCCATTGATAATTAAAATAAATCTTTATTCAAGCCGTACTGGACGACTTCATATTTCAACGTTCATAGAATGAATTATCCATATATTATTCATTGACAAAATAAGTACCTAGGTAATTAACTTAATTTTATAAATTTACTTCATTTTACGAACTCGCTGTTGTAACAAAATATTATGTTCAGAGGAACATCTGTAAAATATTTATCGTGCTTTGGCGTATTGTTTACTAAACGTCCCCGAAACGTTCTCGCGAGGGACACAATCTCAAATACGGCAGCGCTTTTGTGATAAAATAATAAAATTCAGCTTTTTTTCCCTACAATACTGTATTTAACACAATATGTACCGGAATCACTTTATCGCATGCATTATGTTTACTTAACTTTTTAGTTTTATTGAGCCGTAACATGGGCTAGGTCTGGGTAGTGGTTTGTTGTAATTATATATAACTAAACTATGCTATCTGAACTGAAACTGTTGAATGCATACTATTTTGTGTAACATGAAATTATTAAACTTGTTTTATTTGATAATGTGATTGACTTATCACTGGAAGTATTACTTGCTATGATGATAATTGACATTTTTGAAAATGTGTATGAATATTCTAATAGTATATTCATATATTTACGTGGTTTAAGTAATAAATAATCATTGAAATATTCGAGACTCACTTTCCAAAATTTAGCACATTTTACAAAGGCTCAATCGACACATTATAGAGGGTTTTAAGACACCAAACTTTGATAGAAATACGTTTTCTAAAATATGTTATAGTCTTTAAAACAGAGTTGACGTTAAGTTTTGTTAATTCGATTTTCAAGTTTATACAGTATACATTATCTAACTGGTAAAAGAAGACACAAAAAATATAAACGGAAAAACCCCAAAAGCTAAAGGATTAGCTAAATGCGACAAATACAACTCGAAATTGAAAAACAACCTAAACTAATCGATTACATACAACTTTCCCCAAAGCAAAGCTCGGCCCCCTAGCAGAGTTCACTCACCTGTTCCCATGTTGCCGGTCTCCCACAGAGTCTCAACTACGTCTGACCTTCTCAGCGTCCAATCCTGCCTTATATCGGCTCAGCTTCCTTATCCTCCTTCCTAGTTCTTCTTATCCTCTTTCCGCTTATCCTCTTTTGATTATTTACATATTCTTTTTGAACATGTTGATCTACAAATGAGTGGTTTTACATACTGTAAAGCTGAAAGAGTTGTACATTCAATCTTGAAGTTGGAAAAGTTCGAAGTTTGTGTTAATGTATGTGCATTCTGTTTGATGAAGAGTTTAACATCTTTACCCTCTATTCTTTTTATTATTTTTCGTTTGATTTCAAATTAACTGCAGTATTGCAGAACTTTTAGAATTTTTGTATGAAAATGAGTCGTTTTGCGTAGCCTACTTATTGTAAATTTGTTTGTAGTGCGTTCAAAGTATATTGACAGTTTAAAAATATGTTATGTTTATGGAAAATGTACAAAGGCTTTTATTTAATGGAGAATAGACGATCCTTATCCTCTATCCCCTTTGATGAGTTCGATATTTGTTGAATTTTTATATGAAGGTTGATAGTTATAATCTATAATCTTTCCACTACATCATTTTTATACTTGGTACACATTCGTCGTGAAAGGTTTGGTATGGAAATAAGTTGTTTTATGTATGAATTGTAAATAGGTTTTAAAATATATTCAAATTATTTACGGATGAAAAATATGATGAGTCTGTGTAAATACATACAAGATGAAGCATAGCTTACAGACAAGAAGGTGATAGAACACGTTAAAAGTTTACTGAACAAAAAAAATATAACTAAATTAAATTTTCACAACCATCCCTGTAAAAACATGAAGTGAGGCTACATTTTTTCCGGCAAGCGTACCACGTTGCACCACACGATTGAATTTATTGTGTTATACCCTGTAAACTTACCTACCTAACTTAGCTACCAAGGTGCGCTGACCCAACACCCAAGTTTAGTTGTGCTGATAATTAATTAACTTAGTACTGTAGTTACAGGGGTATGTTCAAACTCTGTACATGATCCGAATAATATAGTGCATTATATTGGCTCCAAGTCAACAATAAAATTTTCTTTATAGATACACAATTGGGACTAAGTTGATCCTTCATACAGAGTGCGAAACTATTTCCGTATGTAAAAAATCGGTTGTCAAACTTTCTTTGCGATCGAAAACACCTCGTTGACTATCTTATCCCAAGCATCTCTATTCGTAGGAAGGAACAGTAGACGATTCGCTTAGCCGTACTTCATACATTTTACTTCCATTTCGATATAAATACTATCCATTTACAAATTTAATACTCATCACATAAAATATGTAAGTTGTGAAATCCAAAACATTCCTTTTGCGTGAACCAGAGTTAGTGTTAGGTCATTAACCGCGCAAGATAGGGACATTGGCTTCTTTGTGAAGGCCCCCAATGGGTGAAAACAAATAGGAAATTCGTATTTTCGTTCTTTCGTACACCCTTACTTAATCGTAAAATTAAGGGCTCACTAATTTCGCACTGTTAAATCGTGGAAATTTAACACGGCGACCTATACTTCTGGAAACAGAGTGATTTTGACCCACTCGACCTCCTTAGAACTACGTATATTTTTAGATAAATCTAAACATAAAGTGAGGATGCAAGTGCAGTAATGAAGGCACGAATTGTATTACTCGTCTAAGTGTCCACTACTTGTCATTATTAGCTACTTCAGTGCGAAATGTACAATTTGGCAATTCGTGATTAAGAAAATAATTTTTTTCACTTACATAATGGGCTTTATTATATTTTCACTATTTGAACGAAAGCGATTGAAATTAACTGGCCGTATTTTTGACGCTAGAAAATTAGAATTGACAAATTTACTGATTGACTATCTAAGGAAATGTCTAGGTGAAAATCCAATCAGGCAAATGGAAATCAGCTTCGTTTGCAGGTTTGCTGTGTTGGGTGTACAGAATCTATTTTTTGACCCACGAGGAATTTTAAATTTAATTACTTTTAGATTCAGGGAGAAGGGAGTTTCATAAGATTCGTTGTAAATGTGGTAATTGTTTATCACTCACGTTACAATTCACCATTGAAACCTTGATGGTTGTTAAAAATATTTAAAACCCCTTCTGTGCTTGCTTGTACTTCTATACATACTTTCTGCTCTATGTTTTCCAGCAAGAACACTTCTTTACAAGTCTTATCTTTATCTCTTTTGGAAGTGTAATTTTGTTTATGTTTGACAGTATGTGTTCTGAATGATGCTACACACAACGTTATAACGTCACGATATTGCATTGAGGAGATGAAGGAACCGACAAAATACAACAAACTATTTTGCACTTGTACAAGAAATTTCTTAAACCCAGGTTTCTTTGGTATAGCTTTTGGACTACAGACAATAAACAAATTTACACTACAGAAAAAACGACAGTTAAAACTACTGTACAGTACCTACCTACATAGCTTATTGAAATATCAGCTTATACCTCTACATGGATACAAATTTAAATCACCTCACAATAATTTCATATGAAACTTATATTGTTCTGAATAGTGAATACCATTGAACCTGTTGACATGTTGGACATTTTTTCGTTATGCACGTTTCAGCTTAACATGGCTCAGTTTCATGTTAACTGAAAAACAGTTTGAGGATTAAATGAATGTGTATGAAACACTTGAATAAGCCTTGTTTCTGTAGTAGTTTCACTATTGTATATAGCTATTGTTATGTAAATGTTATGTAAATGTTATGTAAATATATTGTTATGTACATATTGTTATGTAAATAGCTATCTCTAAGGGAATAGCTTGAATTACTTTTCAATATAAAAAATTATAAAATATTTCAACGGAAAATACTAAAACGTGTTAAACAACTAACAGCCTAATGCTATTTTGGAGAGGATAGAAGCAAACTCATTGTAATGTATTTTTATAAAGAAGTCATTTGGTGTATTTTATCCTTGAATGATCTTCCCAGATTCTCCAGTTTCTTCTTGAGCTCCTGGACAGAGTTCTTGACCTCGGAGACTACCTTAGACTCCCCAGTGTCGTGGGGACAGCGACAGTAGCAGCTACATCTGCTCAGGGTCTCCGGGTCCAGCTGAGCCTGCGGGAGTTACGGGTGTCAACTACAGGTAAAATAAATACTTAAAATTGCATAAATTCTTCCAAAAAATGTGTATATGCTACTCTGATATAAAGGCAAATGCCGAACATATACAATGGTAGCGGCGTGTAACAAGAGAAACCGAATTTTTTATTTTTGAGGGAGTACTGAACAGAAATTTGATTGAAGTCACTAAGTGCTAGAACTTTTGTTGAAGTGGACTAAAGGAAAAAAATAGCCATTGGTAATAAATAAAGTGTAATACTTTGAACACACCCTGAATTGAAGATATGCGAAGGAATTGTTTTTTTCGAACCAGAGTTGGCCCAGTGGCCCACTAATATTTAGTCGCTGTTTTTATCACTTGTTTGCACTTTTTCTTACAAATAAGGTCAATAGAAAGCCAAATATATAGACAAACAAACCACTTTTGAAGTAAAAAAAAAGGCATTAGAGGGATAATCGTACTTTCTCTTATCAGTTTACTTTCTTGATACACGATTAACTACCACTTTATTAGATAATCATATACTTAATATCCAAATGCATTATTAAAAACTAAATACCCTTTTTTAATTCATTTTATTTAACAACGACTAGTTTCGACAATTATGCCATAGTCATGTTGTAAATAAAATGAATTTAAAAAAGGGTACTTAGTTTTTTAATAATGCATTTGTATATCAAAATAGTAGCCCTAATCACTACAGTTTTCATAATCTTAATATCATATAATGGCCAAACATAATCACGATATTTATGGAAAAAAAATTGAAAACGTGAATTAAAGAATGCTTGAACCATTTTATATAACTTCAGTGAGCCCCCATCTTTACCAGACTACCACGTCCAGAAATCAGAAAACACGAATGATATGTCTCTATCACCATCGAGAGATTTTCTTCTCTGGCTTGAATTTCATTTGAATTTGAACTCACTTTCCCAATGTTCACGATAATGCTTTGCGTATTCCATGGGAAAGTCATAGTCTTTGTCTTTAAGAAGCCAACCTTAATTATATCATAGACTAACCAACACAAACACCAACACTATATGTACCAGTGAATCCATCTGTTATATCATGACATATTGTTTAGATAACATGAAGTGACATGAGTTCAGTTGATGAAGTCTATGAGATGACATGAGACTACCCGCTCACCTCCACCTCCCTCGTGCCCCAACTCTCCTTGAGCTGTCCGAGGACCCCCTCCAGCTGATGGTACATCCTGTCAAACTCTCCCGTCATCTTCTGCGTCAGATCAGAGACCAAGGTGGGTAGAGGTTTGGTCTTCACGTCTTCCATCAAATCGCTCACATTCACATTCCATAGGGGATTTGTTGCAGCACCTACCTAGGACGAGTAAACTCTTGTTAAACGGTGCAGAGGAAACTAAAGAGTTAAACTAAAGAGAGGAAATACAAAATTTAAATATTTTAGAATATCTATGGAGTTAGAAAATTTAAATAAGCCAGTAAACAAGATGTTCCAAACAGAAAGTTAACTATCAAAATAATTATTTACTTTTTTGCAGTTATTTAGATAATAAGGTGCTCTCTTTGTACAAAATAGTAACATTACACAGAACAATTAATTAGTTCATATTTTCCAATTTACGTGTGTTAAGAGTTCCATGTATTATAAATCAAAACAAACCTTTTGAAGGTTGATTTGAATATAACTATACTTTAATACAGCCGTTGAAACTTACTTGTAAATAACTTATCCACATACACGCGAGTAGATGAATGACGATTGACATGTTGAACTACACAGAAAGAAACTGTTTCAACACCCAAACATAAAACAAAGCAGACAGTGTGTCTTATAACAGCTGTGTTTGTGATTCATCGATCCAATATCTTATCTCTAATCTTAATCGGAATTAGTCAATGGAAAATTAAAC